TGACGTTTCACGTGGCCTTTACAGTTGTTGAAGTAAGACTTAGTAAGTAAATACTTAGTGTTACTCTGTCAGATCCACTGACAGAAGCTCTAATAGCGTCGTAAGTAGTCACCATGTCTGGAGTTTGTCGTCACTTCAAAAATCATCTAAATATCTCGTGTTGGTCCATCAGGCTTCTTCCGGTAGGATTAACTTCCTGGTAAATTACGATCGGTCACACGTGTAGAAAAAGTAGCACTCTATTTTTAGAATAGATGTAAATAAACATGTAGGCACCAACTGCATTTTGTCTATGTTGGTTCTGTTATAATACTAGTAATCTGTCTGTGTAAACTTATTTTTGTGTTCTAGATAAATTCCAACGTCAGGCCAGAGGTGTGAAAGAGATATTTACAATCTAATTACATTACAATAAAGAATACAGGTTGATAGGATTTAATCAGGGATGTTGATTAGTTTTAACATCCAATTCTGATACCGACTCTCCTTAGTGTCTAAACTAGTCAACATCCAATTCTGATGACGACACTCCTTAGTGTCTAAACTGGTCAACATTCAATTCTGATGACGACACTCCTTAGTGTCTAAATTAATCGACATCTAATGCTGATTCTGATGACGACTCTCCTTAGTGTCTAAACTAGTCAACATTCAATTCTAATGCCGACAATCCTAAGTGTCTAAACTGTCGACATCCAATTCTGATGCCGACACTCCTTAGTGTCTAAACTGTCAACATCCAATTCTGATGCCGACACTCCTTAGTGTCTAAACTAGTCAACATCCAATTCTGATGACGACACTCCTTAGTGTCTAAACTGGTCAACATCCAATTCTGATGACGACACTCCTTAGTGTCTAAACTGGTCAACATCCAATTCTGATGACGACACTCCTTAGTGTCTAAACTGGTCAACATCCAATTCTGATGACGACACTCCTTAGTGTCTAAACTAGTCAACATTCAATTCTGATGACGAAACTCCTTAGTGTCTAAACTGGTCTACCTCCAATTCTAATGCCGACACTCCTGAGAGTTTAAACTGGTCGACATCCAATTCTGATGCCGACACTCCTTAGTGTCTAAACTAGTCGACATCCAATTCTGATGTCGATTCTTAGTGTCTAAACTGGTCGACATCCAATTCTAATGCCGACACTCCTTAGTGTCTAAACTAGTCAACATTCAATTCTAATGCCGACTCTTCTTAGTGTCTCCTTAGTGTCTAAATGGTCAACATCCAATTCTGATGTGTCCGACACTCTGATGTCTTAGTGTCCAATTCTAAACACTAAACTGGTCGACATCCAATTCTAATGCCAATTCTGTCTAATGCATTCGGCACTCTAAACTGGTCGACATCCAATTCTGATGCCGACACTCCTTAGTGTCTAAACTAGTCGACATCCAATTCTAATGCCGACACTCCTTAGTGTCTAAACTAGTCGACATCCAATTCTGATGACGACACTCCTTAATTCTGATGCCGACACTCCTTAGTGTCTAAACTAGTCGACATCCAATTCTGATGACGACACTCCTAAGTGTCTAAACTGTCGACATCCAATTCTGATGCCGACACTCATTAGTGTCTAAACTGTCAACATCCAATTCTGATGCCGACACTCCTTAGTGTCTAAACTAGTCGACATCCAATTCTGATGACGACACTCCTAAGTGTCTAAACTGTCGACATCCAATTCTGATGCCGACACTCCAATTCTGATGTCACACTCCTTAGTGTCTAAACTAGTCGACATCCAATTCTGATGACGACACTCCTTAGTGTCTAAACTAGTCGACATCCAATTCTGATGCCGACACTCCTTAGTGTCTAAACTAGTCGACATCCAATTCTGATGCCGACACTCCTTAGTGTCTAAACTAGTCGACATCCAATTCTAATGCCGACACTCCTTAGTGTCTAAACTAGTCGACATCCAATTCTGATGCCGACACTCCTTAGTGTCTAAACTGGTCGACATCCAATTCTAATGCCGACACTCCTTAGTGTCTAAACTAGTCAACATTCAATTCTAATGCCGACTCTTCTTAGTGTGTAAACTAGTCGACATCCAATTCTGATGACGACACTCAGTGGAGTCTCGTCTAGTCGACATCCAATTCTGATGCCGACACTCCTTACATCCATCCAATTCTAATGCCGACACTCCTTAGTGTCTAAACTGGTCGACATCCAATTTTGATGCCGACACTCATTAGTGTCTAAACTGTCAACATCCAATTCTGATGCCGACACTCCTTAGTGTCTAAACTAGTCGACATCCAATTCTGATGCCGACACTCCTTAGTGTCTAAACTAGTCGACATCCAATTCTGATGCCGACACTCCTTAGTGTCTAAACTGTCGACATCCAATTCTGATGCCGACACTCCTTAGTGTCTAAACTAGTCGACATCCAATTCTGATGACGACATCCAATTCTGATGCCGACTCTCTTAGTGTCTAAACTGTCGACATCCAATTCTCCAATTCTGATGCCGACACTCCTTAGTGTCTAAACTAGTCGACATCCAATTCTGATGCCGACACTCCTTAGTGTCTAAACTAGTCAACATCCAATTCTGATGCCGACACTCCTTAGTGTCTAAACTAGTCGACATCCAATTCTGACCTCCAATCTCTGTCGATGCCGACACTCCTTAGTGTCTAAACTAGTCGACATCCAATTCTGATGCCGACGACTAAACTCCATCCAATTCTGATGCCGACACTTTTGATGCCTTAGTGTGTAAACTAGTCTCCTTAGTGTGTGTAAACTAGTCAACATCCAATTCTGATGCCGACACTCCTTAGTGTCTAAACTAGTCAATATCCAATTCTAATGCCGACACTCTTTAGTGTCTAAACTGGTCGACATCCAATTCTGATGACGACACTCCTTAGTGTCTAAACTAGTCGACATCCAATTCTGATGCCGACACTCCTTAGTGTCTAAACTAGTCGACATCCAATTCTGATGCCGACACTCCTTAGTGTGTAAACTAGTCGACATCCAATTCTGATGCCGACACTCCTTAGTGTCTAAACTAGTCGACATCCAATTCTGATGCCGACACTCCTTAGTGTCTAAACTAGTCAACATCCAATTCTGATGTCATCCAATTCTGATGTCGACTCTCTTAGTGTCGACATCCAATTCTAATGCCGACACTCCTTAGTGTGTAAACTAGTCGACATCCAATTCTAATGCCGACACTCCTTAGTGTCTAAACTAGTCGACATCCAATTCTGATGACGACACTCCTTAGTGTCTAAACTGGTCGACATCCAATTCTGATGACGACACTCCTTAGTGTCTAAACTAGTCAACATCCAATTCTAATGCCGACACTCCTTAGTGTCTAAACTAGTCGACATCCAATTCTAATGCCGACACTCCTTAATGTCTAAACTAGTCGACATCCAATTCTGATGACGACACTCCCTAGTGTCTAAACTAGTCGACATCCAATTCTGATGACGACACTCCTTAGTGTCTAAACTGGTCGACATCCAATTCTAATGCCGACACTCCCTAGTGTCTACACTAGTCGACATCCAATTCTGATGTCGACTCTTCTTAGTGTCTAAACTAGTCGACATCCAATTCTGATGTCGACTCTTCTTAGTGTCTAAACTAGTCGACATCTAATTTTGATGACGACACTCCTAAGTGTCTAAACTGTCGACATCCAATTCTGATGCCGACACTCCTTAGTATCTAAACTAGTCAACATCCAATTCTGATGCCGACACTCCTTAGTATCTAAACTGTCGACATCCAATTCTGATGACGACACTCCTTAGTGTCTAAACTAGTCGACATCCAATTCTGATGACGACACTCCTTAGTGTCTAAACTAATAAACACACTTGATTAAAGCCGATCAACCCAACCAGATGTTGCATTTCTCAGTGTTTCAATGTTTCAGGTTCTCATAGGCCACAAGTAGTGTATGCTATAGCCATCTTGGCTAAAAAATATCCTACTATCGACTTTCATTGTCTATTAATGAGCAGCTAAGGAATGTAATTAAGCAATTAAAAATATTGAGAAAATACACAGAGAAAATTTATCGAAAATGTACAGAAATACCAATGTTGACCACTGGTACATGGAAAGATCCCACAGGATGAATGTCGGTAACACTTCTGTATTACAAACGAGGGAAGTATACAACAATGAGGGGAACTAACAGCTATTTCACAACACAGTGGAAATATACTCCATAGAGAAGACATTTATAAACTTGTGTAATGTTATATCATAGAGGAGTATATGGTGATCCTGGATATCATGGCAAAAAGAAACTCTGGGACTCCGTATAAGGAAAGGAGAAATCGTGTAGTCAAGGAGAGGTTTCACACCAACTGGTCCGAGTTTGGTCACCTAAACCTGATGGTTTAGATTAAAGCAACAGATGATAAAATTAAAAAAAAAACAAAAACAGCAAACAAACGATACAAAACCAAAAACTCCCCCCAACCCCCACCCTCTCTCCAAAAAAACACGTTTAATAAAAACACCAACTCCACTGAAAAATTGTATCCATGATAAAAATTTCCGACATTTCAGTTGTGAAACGTGAAAATACTTATAACTTTTTTTTTTTTTGTAAATTATATCCCAGACAGTCAAAGTTTTGTAATTTTTTTCCATTTACCCCAAAGGTGGCCTTTATTATTTTTAATGTATTTGTAATATTTCCTGAAAAAAAAATAATAAAACGTCAGAGAAGACAGGGTTTTTATCATTATTTTTTAAGTAAAACTTTGCGATAGTTAAATGCAAGCTGATGATGATTTGTACGTAACATGTGGAAAGATACAAATACGATGGGGATTTCTAGAAAGTTATTTTAGGTAATGACACAATTTGTAAGTGGGCTTGGGAAACACGTCAGCCGCGGCTGGAAACTGAGTGTGTATTTTTAGATCTGTATGTGTATAAATACGAGAAGACACAGAGAAAGCATACTACAATTTGAGACCACCAGACCGAGACCAAATACACCATGAACGCTGCGCGTGTTGCAACAGAACTAGTGAGACCTGCCACCAAACTTACTCAGAGAACTCTAGTCAGGAATTTACAGTCTATGTAAGTATAACATTATATGTATATAATCTAATAGCATATTTTTTATGGAAACTATGTTCAATAAATGTATATAAGTATTTCATTAACTTCAACATGGCGATATACAGAGGCGTCCTTGATTGAATTATGGTATTCAAAAGTGAAAAAAAATTGATATCGATCTACAAAAAAGATTATCTGATTTGAATGATTTTTCTTTTTATGTCATTAATGTTTCAATACTTTGTACCAGTCACTAACCTCTCATATCAATTACTATTTCATCTTTTAGATGGCTGTAAAGACGGTGATATGAATCTTTATTTATTTTCCATGAAAATAATATTTATTTTGTTTTTTTTAAAGGGCACAACACAATCATCACATCACACCAGCATCGGGGACCCCGCCCCCACCCCCCTCCGCTGGGATGATGAGGGCTTGGCAAACATTGCAGGAGGAAAACTGGGTCACCACTAAAGGTCATTTGACCCCACAACCTCTGGAAACATTCAACCTAACACTAACAGAGAAAAGTATTCTAGGTAGGCATACAAATTATTCTCATAAAAAAGTCAAATATGTCGATTTTAATTTTAAATTAAATTAATTGATTCTTAATGAAGAACGAACATGATTTTATTTTGATGAAAAAAGTTCATGATACCTAAATTTATTTCTGTTTGGCTTATGTATTAATTTCTATTTTTATATCTTATTTTTAGGATCAAGAAACCTTGGAGTTTTCGAGACAAGCTCAAATTCTGAAAATGTTGGATCTAGTGTAAGAGCATTACTGACTGGATTCAAGTTTGATTAAAGTGTCCTTCCAGAGAAAACAGAAACTTGATTGAACGTGTAAAAATGGCGAAGAATTAGCGAAACATGTATAACTGGAGATGAATTAGTGACGATTTTGATAGGTTGTGTGATAAATCTGCAAGTACAGCTTTGTGTCATATACATCATTTTGTGTACTTGGGTGTAAATTAAAGTAAGTCTATAGTTTTGACTGAGTGAGCTTTATCACCAATATTATGTGGCATTGAATGTAAATAATAATAAGTTATAAATAGATATCATGTATTATGTTGTAACGAGAGAACAATGTTGTAAGTTGTGAAATTATATAAGTATAATGTATCATTTTGTAACGAGAGAATATTGTTGTAAGTTGTGAAATTATATAAGTATAATGTTTACGGTTGTAACGAGAGAACATTGTTGTAAAATTTGTGATTAATAATTAATTTGACCATGGGTTCATGGTTGTGCCTTTTTGTCAGGTAAATTATGAAAATTGCAAATCAAGAATAAAATACGATCAAATAATTATCAGAGTCGCTTGTTGTTGTTTACATGAAGGAGATATCGTATTGACGGAATCAGCTGAATGTTGTTTTTGTTTACATGGAAAATGACGTTTTAAAATCACGAAAATTCAAGCGTTTTATGCATGGTTGGATTCAAAAGTAATTATTTTTATTAATTTGAGAGAAAAAATGTATTAATTGCTTGTTTGAAGATCTAACATCATTTCTTTAGCCAAGAAAATGAAAATGTGTATCTTTTCACGGATTTACCCACTATAAAGAAAAAATACCCCAGAAAGCATAGAAAGATGGAGAGTTGCTGTGCTGATAGATATGTGTTATTCGTTTAACACAGGGACTATCAAAACATAAGTGTTTTGTACATCATACGACGGAAATTATAGCTTCCGGTCGGGAAACCAGTACGGAACGTCTACTTGTCAATAACTATTACAGATGTGAAATAACACCAACTTTTACAAACAACATGATATCACCATGACATCACCATGACACACCACCACTCAATATTTGTGATATAATATTGAAAATTTAGATATAAGTGATTCTACACATACTACAAGGCACAGTGGCTCGGTTTCGGGATTTGGGTAATGTTCGATATTAGTTGATAACAACAACTACACTGAAATCCCAGTATCTATACAAGTTCCGAAATTTCATAAAAATTGAGGTATGTTGTACACATCCATATCACCACTTCACTAGAATTTTAGTTTTGGGTAGATTAACTTATCTCTTACATTGCTCAAAATCTCTCCCCCCCCCCACCACTCCCCGCGCTGTGTTAAAGAGATGATACTTTACAAATGTGGTAGAAATGTAACTTTCATTCATTCCTTTCTTTATTTCCATTAAATTCTTCAAATCTAAAGAGTTATAAATGATTAAAAAAAACAAGTTACCGAGGTACAAACAGCTATATGTTAACCAAGAAAATAGGTAAAGTGAATTAGATATAAAACATGATGTACAAAGGATAGTTAAAACACTACAGAACGACAGAAAGCACGTGTGTAAAGAGGACATGTTGAATTAACGTTAGTTTGCTTGTTGGTTCCGTTGTTGTATACTTTGTTCTCATTTGAGAACGTGACATTACTGTTTTCCTTGTCCTTTTTCAGGGGTCTCCGTGTAAATTATTCTTTTTTTCATATCTTGCACTTGTGCTATTTTATTAAAGTTTAAATTGTGATTATGTTGACATAATGGGATTTTCTGATTGTTTTGACCATGATAAAATATATAGAAGACCGATGACTTTTATGTTTAATAAACAATCTCGTCAATTAACATAAATTAACGTTTAATTAACGAGCTAACTTGAAGAAGATACAATACACACGGTAAATAATGTACATGTGATTTAGGAAGATGAATTACACACAATAGATAATGTGCCTGTGATTAAGGAATATAAACTACACACAGTTAATAAAGTAACACTAGTGTCTGTTATTTTTATTTATGATTACAAGCACTTACACATTGTAAATATTCTGTTTATTATGAATGGAATAAATACATTAAAACAACACACATAAAAACAACTTAACGCCCATTTAGAATTGCAATAAAACAAGTCTCGGCATCCCAATCTCAATGTAGATCTATATTAAGGCTGGGAATCCCAATCTCTATGTAGTGTAGATCTATATTAAATACAGGGAATCCCAATTTCTATGTAGATCTATATTAAGTACAGGGAATCCCAATTTCTATGTAGATCTATATTAAGAACAGGGAATCCATTCCAGAATGTTGTTGATAGTATTAACGAATTAACGGGAAATCCCCTGGTTACCATATTATCAATGTTTGTATGTACCAATAGATTTATGTTGATCTAAAACAACAATAGACACTAAGACATATTAAATATAGATTTGAACAATTTGATTGATTGAAATTATATCGCTATTTTTTTTTATGAAATTATATAACAGATAGAACTTTTCCTATCATAGCAAGAACAACACCAAGAAAAAAAAGATGAATTAAAGATAGCCAGCCAAATATTACATAATTATATTTTACCGGTGAAGTTAACACTTGGATTCTATAATTACACGTATAACTAACTGAAATAAAATCAAAACAATGATTGCTAAGGATTGTGTGTCCTGAAAATAACTTATTGCTACAAAATTACTTTCCAGGCTAAATCAGAGCTTCCATTCTTCTGAACCCCTCGGAATACATTATTGATCAAGACTGACTTTCCAGACTAAATCAGAGCTTCCATCCTTCTGAACCCCTCAGAATACATTATTGATCAAGACTTGACTACCCAGACTAAATTAGAGCTTCCATTCTTCTGAACCCCTCGGAATACATTATTGATCAAGACTTGACTACCCAGACTAAATTAGAGCTTCCATTCTTCTGAACCCCTCGGAATACATTATTGATAGAGACTTGACTACCCAGACTAAATCAGCGTTTCCATCCTTCTGAACCCCTCGGAATACATTATTGATAGACTTGACTACCCAGACTAAATCAACTTCCATCCTTCTGAACCCCTCGGAATACATTGTTGATAGAGACTTGACTACTTAGACTAAATAAGAGATTCCATCCGTCTGAATCCACAAAATAGTTTTTTTTATTCTAAAAAAAGCTCCACTGAAACACCAATTTTTAAAGCGACTACATGTATAATGTTAAAAAAAACCACTACGATAAAACGATATAAAACGTTATAAAACGTTCTATTTTCCAATAGTATGTTACAAAACTAAGACTTTCTGTTTACTAAAATTAAAAGTCACTGCAACTATTTTCTTATTGATATCTAATAAATAAAGAATGTAAACATTGCCGTCCTGATCTAATTCATACATTACCGTTCGTAACCCTGATGCTGCGCATGCGTATATGCCTAGAAAGAAGCAATATGGCGAACGCAAATACGAAAAGGCGACGAGGACCTAAAAGTTACCTTACAGAAAGTGCCAGGAAGCGTAAGAGGAAGGAGTCAGACCAGAAAAGAAGACAGGCAAGAATCTATATGACATATGCGTTTGTTTACCTCGTAATCCATTTTTTCTTTGCGACGGATGTAAATGACTTCGTCACGTGACAAGCCATGTGACCCACTCGGCTTCCTTCGTAATAAACCGAGCGTGAACATGTTTATAAACAATAGGTAAGATAAACAATGTTCCGACGCCGATAATATGTACAAAACAACAAATTTGACGTTATAGGCGCATGTATCGCTTTATTATGGACATATTTTATTATTCATAAGCCGAATTCTCCATTTCCCGATGTTGAAATCTAAGGCAATAACCGCTTTAATGTACTTGTTTTCATAACCATTTATGTCGGAAAATGAGCAATGAATTATTTTTGAACTGAAAATGTTGTTAATCAGATCTTCTTTTCATCGTTAATTGAAATAATTTGATTTAAACAGCATCTGATGTCCATGCAAAATTAGTTCATTTTTCTTTGTCTCAAAGGGTAGGTCATTTGCTTTTGATTTGAACTGTGAGTAATCTAAATTTAGAATGGGGACCCCTTCCAAAAATAGGTTCTACAGATTATAGAAAAAAACCCTATCTGCGAAGTTACATATAAATAGATACATATTAACATGTGATATTTCTTACACCTTTGCACCATTTGATATGAGCATTATTATAATATTTTGCCTCCTACAATATTTATAAAAATGTACTATCGCGTTGATTAGAAACAAAAATGAGAGAGTATCAGCTTTTTAGCAGAGACAGTCATTCGCTGATTCACACACATAGAATCTATTTATAGACAAAAATTTCCCAGTGTTTGGCGGAATAAGTGTATTGCTTTTAGGAGTAAGCTACACACTCTCCTCAGCACCAACAGATATCATTTCGACTGAGAACCAACTGACTGAACCACTGTTAGGATTTATATTTTCGCATAATGAGCACACAACGAGTTGCCAGTAGACTTTTTCAGAAAGTTTCCATGCCTAAACAACACAGCACAATTAGTGTACGAACGATGTAAGTATACAGTTAATCTTAAGTTTATCTGTGACTTCGTTTCCATGACAACGTAGCTTTTTCATACCGACGTTTTTTATATGAGGATTTGGTGTAACTTTTTATTTCTATTTTGCTCGTGTATGTTGAAGTTGTATTAAATAATCTGTGCGCGTGGTCCTAGGGTACAATCAGGATTGTACTAAACACTACACATTTGTCACACAATTGTAATGTATCGACCATGTTGTCCGTTTGGTACTCTATAAGAGTCGATTTATTATCCTGTATGCAACTGAAATGAAATCCGCCAAATCATTTAACTAAATATACATCACTCACGTTTTGTCAATTTAAATCAAGAAATTATAGTCATATTATCATTCGAGTGTTATAGTTACAAATTCAGTTCGAGTCATCCGAACTAAAATTACAAATATATAGATTGGAAAAGATCGGGACTTGAAAATTATTTCGACTCAACAGAATTTCGACTCAAGCGATTTCGAGACAACGAGTTTCAACTTTAGTTGTAAGCCAGTATGTATTATTTTTTATCAACAGGGCGCTTGTCAATTACCCCGTCGAGGCCGCGCCCCCCTCTTCAGGGATGATGAACGCGTGGCGAACATTACAACAGGACAGTTGGGTCACCACTCAAGGTCATGCGAAACCACAAATATTGGATACGTTCAGCCAGTTCAGCACATGTGGGAAAAGTGTTCTAGGTAGGTTATATCATACTGATGTCAAGTTCGACATTCACTCATAATAAATATTACAGCTTAAGACTATACAGCACATAAAACGGTCAAAGAATGCTTAAGTAAATCACAATCTGTCGTTTTAGCGTGAAATCGATAAAAAAATGTAATTTTTACATCAAGTCGAAAAAAGAGGAAAGAAATCGGGAAAAAATCTCATTTTAACATAAAATCGATAAAAAATCAGAATTTAGCATAAAATCGACAATAAAATGTCAATTTTTCATAAAATCGATAAAAAATCTCAATTTAACATATAATTCATAGTCATATAAAACGGTGCAGTCTGTAACTGGTGAAGCCAACATACATACATGTTAACAATCAGAGGTTGATCAGACAAAAGAAACTTCAACATTACCAAGCTCATGTAATCAAACAAAAATAAATATAAATGAATATCACTTTAGTAACGACATCACCACTTACAAATATGCATTCTAGATGGCCACTCTGTATATCTGAGATTTTTTTTTAGATTTCAATTTTTGATTAAGAACGATCTCATTGTTTTATTGGAAAATAACTAAAAATTTTGAATGAATACACGATTAAAAGAATGAGTGAAACAAAATATTTTTATTTACAACTGAGTAAATTTTCGTCTGTTTATTTTTCAGGAACGAGATATCTTGGTGAGCTTGAAAATATTCCTAGTTTTGAGAAAGAGCAATCAATTGTTCAACCAATTTTCAGAAATTTGTCATTTAAATGTGAGACTTTTCTCACAAGAAATTATTTCAGCATTTAGACAACCATTCAATGTCTCTCTGGTATGGCATACCACAGAAGTTATCGCCCCTGACACGCGCCAAAGTCACAGTGTTAAAACTATGATAAAGATATAACGCGTCAACATTGGACGATTAAGACGAGGTACCAATACGGATTACAAGTCGTCGTGAACAGAAAGTGTTCGAATTTTTCAATGATTCGGGCAGCTTTTATATCACAGGTGTTCAAATTCTTTCAAACGCTTGGCCGCTCGAATGGCTGTCAACCCTAATGTGTTCAAACCGTGGCAAACATTTCGATGATTTCGACTTGCTATCGACATCCACAGACTGACGACAGTAAAGGTCAGTGACAACCTCAAACAGTTGTGAATTTAACTAAGGATTTTTATTTTGTTGTCAGCGACTTAACAACGACCACAAGGTGTGGTATGTAGTTGTGGGATTTATACATTGTAGATTGACTGTTTTAACTTCCGTGATGAACTTGGAGTATAGATCCGAGTCAACACTTGTATGAAGCCGTTTGTATAAACACAGTTGTGTATCATGCATTTAAATTAAAAATCTGTTATGTTTTATGTGTATGTTGATGACTTTCGGTTTTTTCACCCGGTGTATGTTGATGACGTTCGGTTTTATGTGTATGTTGAATGACATTCGGTTTTATGTGTATGTTGATGACATTCGGTTTTATGTGTATGTTGATGACGTTCGTTTTTATGTGTATGTTGATGACGTCGTTCGGTTTTATGTGTATGTTGATGACGTCGTTCGGTTTTATATGTATGTTGATGACGTTCGGTTTTTATGTGTATGTTGATGACGTTACATGTCTGTTACTTTTTCTGTTGTGATGTTTAGTTAAGTTTAAATGTTGTTTTCAGTTACGATTTTTCAAGGCAAATATACAGCTATGAAAAATTGTGTAGTGATTCATCAAATTTAGAATTGTGAAAAATTTGCATAAATGATACATATATTAAAAAAATAAAAATAAATTTTACTTGTTTTAATAGATTTGTTTTTTTGGGTACTCTAAACCAATGAATTCATATGTACATGGACCGTTCACATCAGTATATGTAGCTTCATTGGGCTATATCTATTCACGAAATCAAGTAACTATGAAAAAGTGATTTTTTGATAAACCACGAAAATCGAACCTCGCGAACATATTTGATTCCACAGTATGTTAGGAACATTTCCAAGTTTAAGCCAATAAGTTTTGACCACACCCTTGTAAAATGATTACGTATAGAAACAAAATGTTTAATGAGATATCTTTATACCACCAGAAAATTCAGGACGATTTGAATTGTGGGCATTTTTTTTTCTTTATTTATTATGGAACGTTTTTAGTTTTAATGGCTACTCTACCCCATTTCCATTTTGTAAGGGAGAGGATTTGATATTCGCCACCTTCACCTTATACTGTAAAATTTTTGATTTTCGTGGTGTTTTTTTTTTTTTTTTTTCTCGAAAAGACGAGATTTTACGATAATGTGAGCTATGGAATGTCATATCATTCTCTGTTAACTAGTTATTCCAGAGTTTCACTGAGGAGTTTTATTTATCCTTTTTAGTCCATTTTGACTGGAAATTCGCCAATCATGTAGGGATACAATTTTTTTCTCCCTTTAAAACTGTTACTGCAAGCAACTGAATCTTGTATTTGAGTCTACGTCAAGAAAACCTCAGTGACCTAATCAATCGTACTTTTTGTTTCCGCGCAAATTATTCTTCCGTGTGAATACTTTTGATATTAAGTTTCATTCTGAATCAGAATCGATGACAATTTTTGATAATTACTATGGGGATGAGATAATCGCCAGAAACAGATCACGTGTTGATCACGTGTCAATATATTTTGTTGTTCCATTGATTTCTGTCAAGCTTAATATACTTTATTTTATGAAAGCTTGAATGATGATATAATTTTCGAGATCCGTTAGTTATTTGGAAATATTCTAACATTGTTTTTGATAATTTACCAAACTGCTAATATCCAAACTTACTAAACAACTGAAAAAAGCAAATTATAGAAATTCATATACTCGATTAAGTCTTAAAAAGATTTGTGTTTCAGTTCTTCATTCCAATTAATGAATATACTACCGGTATTCGTAAGCTCCATACAGCTCGGAGCTGATGATAGATAGTCCTGTTCTGTCTGGCTCGGAGCTGATGATAGATAGTCCTGTTCTGTCTGGCTCGGAGTTGATGGTAGATAGTCCTGTTCTGTCTCTCTCGGAGTTGATGGTAGATAGTCCTGTTCTGTCTGGCTCGGAGCTGATGGTAGATAGTCCTGTTCTGTCTGGCTCGGAGCTGATGATAGATAGTCCTGTTCTGTCTGGCTCGGAGCTGATGGTAGATAGTCCTGTTCTGTCTGGCTCGGAGATGGTAGATAGTCCTGTTCCGTCTCTCTCGGAGCTGATGGTAGATAGTCCGGTTCTGTCTGGCTCGGAGCTGATGGTAGATAGTCCTGTCCCGTCTCGCTCGGAACTGATGGTAGATAGTCCTGTTCCGTCTCTCTCGGAGCTGATGATAGATAGTCCGGTTCTGTCTGGCTCGGAGCTGATGGTAGATAGTCCTGTTCCATCTCTCTCGGAGCTGATGGTAGATAGTCCGGTTCTGTCTGGCTCGGAGCTGATGGTAGATAGTCCTGTCCCGTCTCGCTCGGAACTGATGGTAGAAAGTCCGGTTTTGTCTGGCTCAAAGCTGATGGTAGATAGTCCTGTCCCGTCTCGCTCGGAACTGATGGTAGAAAGTCCGGTTCTGTCTGGCTCGAAGCTGATGGTAGAGAGTCCGGTTCTGTCTCGCTCGGAGTTGATGGTAGAAAGTCCAGTTCTGTCTGGCTCGGAGTTGATGGTAGAAAGTCCGGTTCTGTGTGGCTCGGAGCTGATGGTAGATAGTCCGGTTCTGTCTCGCTCGGAGTTGATGGTAGAAAGTCCAGTTCTGTCTGGCTCGGAGTTGATAGTAGAAAGTCCGGTTCTGTGTGGCACGGAGTTGATGGTAGAAAGTCCGGTTCTGTCTAGCTCGAAGCTGATGGTAGATAGTCCGGTTCTGTCTCGCTCGGAGTTGATGGTAGAAAGTCCAGTTCTGTCTGGCTCGGAGTTGATAGTAGAAAGTCCGGTTCTGTGTGGCTCGGAGTTGATAGTAGAAAGTCCGGTTCTGTGTGGCTCGGAGCTGATGGTAAATAGTCCGACTGACCGCGTTAATTTGCAATGAAGACCCTATCGAGCTGTTTATATATGGATCAGGGTGTATATGGAGAATACAGTCTTTTTCTTCAGCTGATCAAGATTTTACCTAATGTTACTTCGTTAGTATCTTGAAGCTTTGTTCAATAATTCTATAGTTTTGTAATTAATTAACAAATTAGTTCGTCCGTCCATCAGTCCGTATCGCCGTCCGTGTCTGTCCGTTCATTAATTAATTCATTTATTGTGTACACAGTATGATGATTTACCATTACAAATGACAAACAACATGATGGCTCAACGCTACAAATGACACACATATGAAAAAGTCAAGGGGGATCATCATTTTTGACCAATTTTATTCTAAAATGTATTTTAAATCGAGACAGCCTCCTACATATACGACTGTCTCGATTAACCTCCATGCAACGATTTCACAATGTTGATAATTCCCGTACTGATGAATAGTTAAGTAGTTATGCTTGAACAATGTACATTGCTCGTAAATATTGATGATTTATCAAAATGTTATCATGATTCATGCCATATTGAAGTTAGGCGTTTAAGTGCTTTAGATACAAGATTTAATCTTGATTAAGTGTCCCAACTGTAATATCTATTTTAATGTAAAATAAATGATTTTTAACTAAAGCCATAATCTGCCTCATATAATCCAGCTGATTTAACAGAAATATATTGTAAACAATAAAAATTATCTTTCCCATGAAATATTTGAAGTGATGAGATGAGAAACAGAAACACACACACCCACGCCATCCCCCACACACAATTATCTCGCTAATACAAAAATCAAGAGAGTTTTCACTTTTCCGATAGAATAATAATCCCGTCCTTACTTATTATCATGTTATAATAAAAAATGTATTACTTGAAAATATTAAGGCAACCAATTTATGTCTATTTTCTATCCCGCCCCTAGTTTCAATAGTTTCAAGAGAACTCGGTATTGCCGTTATTGCTCCAACTATTGACATTAAACTATAAAAACACCACGGGTGTTCCAACTTGTGTTTTTCGACACAATCATTCTTTTAAATGCCCTGTTAGCTAAACGTGTGTCTTCGTTTGCTGTCCATTATCTTCTATCTTAATAGAAGGACGAAACAACTGCATGGTTCATTTTGATCTACGTGAAATGTTTATATTGATAAACTTTTAATGAAAAATACTAATTTCTCTGTACAATATTGTACATTCATTTGTGTAAAATTGTTTTTATTTAACAAATACATCACTTTGTCCCCGTCTGTGAAATTTCCCCTCTCGCAGCAAAGACAAAGACCGACATTTTCCCATATTGTATTCTCACTGTTTGATACATTATTCAATCAATTCGACACGGGGACGTTCATTAGTGTTGTAATAATATCACCACGGCTACACTTTGCTTTGTACGAACATGAAAATGTAAATCTCGCGAAAAAAACCCATAAAACTTGTTGTATCAAATGTAAAATTTATGTACAGTATTTTGAAAATCTCGACTAAACTTGGAAAAATATACACAACGATGACCGAACGTTGTTTCAAAAACAAAAGTAGTTAGATATTTTCTGACATCGGAAATCTCAAAACTGGTATCACTTTGTTACTATATTTAACATTACGTCATTGTACAGAACATCTATAAATAGAATAGGAGTTCCCAAAATGTTTAGGTTCCACTAATACAGAATACAACTTCCCATAAATTTAGGATAGTATCCCAGGGATGAAATAAATTTCCCCAAAAAATTTAAAAAAAAAAAAAAAACTCTTCCAAAACTTCATCAGACTTCCTAAAGATTAAGTATTACGTCAGAAGATTGCTCTCAAATGTCGATTATGTAACAATAATATGACCATACAATTCTAAGACGTATGTTGCTTTCTAACAAAAGGATTTGTCGTAAATATAACCATAGTTGTTTGATCTATGAAAATAATCCCGTAAATTACTACGGAGTTTCCTTTTTATGATAACTGTAACTATAGTTTCTCAAACTATGTGAATTAAACGTTTGTTTTTATTTATTGGTGCTACTAAACAATATATTCCTTTCCTTTGTTGTTCCATTGTTCTCTGACAAAGATGATTGAAGCCTGATTATCCGTTTTAAAACGAACATTATATAATATTCTGACTTGACAAAAAAAACAAAAAAAAATTTGGTGACGTCTTGATGACGTCATCAATCGACATGTGTATCACTGTTAATAAACTTGAATTGAAAGACGTGACTTACTTGGGTTTATTTGTACAATCCTTTCACGTAATACATCGTGGAACTTAATCGATCCAGGGATGATCATTATTTAGATAAAGTCACATCCTTAACAACTGACTCCCGCTCTGATAGCTATACATCTTATCACTATATACTCCTGCTCAACAAAAAATATACAATGAATTTGATTTACTTTGTAAATTAGAACAAAACAGAAATTAAAAATATAAAGTCAATTATTTATAAGCTTTGATTCACGACCTCTTTGCTTGCCAAATGCTATTAAGGTAATATGTTTAGGAAGGGGACTGAAATAATGTGATAACTTCCGCCCAATGAATGATGTTGTGACAATTTATGTTTGTATAAAACTAAACTGAAAATAACCTATAAATAACTGACATTCACTGTGTGTGCGCGTATGTGTGGGAATTTCCAAATCTAAAAATAGTTACTGTTGGTTTTGTTTTATATCGTACGATCTGCCTAGAGGAACGAACAGTTGCTGGAGCACGTTGGTCCATACACAACACCAGAAGCCGAGAACCATAAAAATGTATAACGTTATAACGAGACATATGATCATGGCAACACGGAAAGAATTACATAGATGTTTTCAAACACTGTAAGTAAATCAATGACTGGTTAATTTAATTAGGTTCATGGTTTAGTAGTAAAACAGTAGTATGTACATACATTTCTCCTTTCTTATTGAGCAGTTTTTAATTTTAAAACGAAACAGACAAATTTTAAATACTTATGTTTTATATCTGTATAAGAGATTTGTATTTAACCTTGAATTAACGACGATTTTTTATAACATAGTGCTCCATTGAATGGCCAAGTAAAGTGTGTGAAATCGTCAGCACCCGTCTCTGAAGACATGTTGAGATTGTGGGGGACACTACAACGTAAGGATTCATCCACCCCTCACACCAGATCACGTGGCCTGGATACCATTAACACGTCACGTAGAGGTTTGTAATCAAAGTAATTCTAGAACACGTATTTTGTAGTGAAAGAATCATGTACTTTGGAAATACTTTGACTCTACAAAGCAGTAAACAAATTTGAAATGTTTGTTTCGTTAAAAGAAAAAAATTACAGAGAAAATAAGCCATTAAATAGAAATTAAAAAAACCCACCGAGATATTGTGTTTATTCCGTATTAACCAGTGGTACAAAATCAGCTTCATATCATCCGTTTTTTATATTTACACATAATATTTTTTTTAAAATGTTATAGATGATATAGGAAACAGGATTCTAACATTTTAAAAATTCTTCTCTGGTATGGAAACTTTGTGTTATTTGATGTTTGTGCAGTAATTCCAACATATTTAGAGATATTTAAGAAAAGACAAATTAACATTTTAATTCGCGTACATTTCATACTATATGAATCATTACTAGAGTTTTTCATATTATTTTAGTTCAACACTTGAACCCATTCACATGAAATATTTACAAATGTTTGATATTTTGTTTCAGGAGGAAAAATATGCGATTTATTTGGAACTAGATCGACAGCTGATAAAGACCTATTAAATAGACAACCAGTTTATGGAGATTTCATGGTTTCTCACGTGCCAACAATATCGAAACAAACACCAACAATTATACCAATAATTGTGAAAAAGAAAACATTGCAGCAACTTCGCAAGGGACGTTTACAACGAAATGAAGGGAACTTGATACGGTTTCTACTTCCGGTTTGAGTGAAAACGTTCATTAACATTGACGTGTACGTGAAATCCAGAATAGATGATAATTTTTTTGTTATTATACAATAATTTTTGTGAGGATTTAAAATATTTCATGTTTTTTTCTTTCGGAGTATTGAATACTCTAATGTTACGGGTATGTGCTATTTTTGGTCATTCTCAATACTACAGGGATTACAACCAATTTCGTTCGCTGCTGATTATCGAGGGTGACATATGTTAACATGTAAATGTATTTTTCCGTGACTCGTTGGTTGTGAGGTGTTCGAGAAATAAGTATATCTGTATTGTATAGTTTACAATTAGTGCGGGTAAATAGGTTGTTTGTAAATATATATGTAAATTATTGAAATGGGAGAAAAAATGCTGTGTTTTTCTATAGATTTATTTTTTATTTTTCGCCCTATAAGAGGAGGGTGAATTTGACATTGTATATCGAGAGTGTCTCGGCACCATTTGACTACCGTTATTTCGCCCTATAAGAGGAGGGTGAATTTGACATTGTATACCGAGAGTGTCTCGGCACCATTTGACTACCATTATTTCGCCCTATAAGAGGAGGGTGAATTTGACAATTGTTACCATGAAACTTTCTATACCGTAAGGATGCCACCATTTTCGTCGTCGAGTTTGACAGTGTTAATCGTTAAACTCTCGTTTCACAATTGTCATTCTTGCCCTATATGGAGAGGCGAGTTTGATAATGTATACCGCGGACCTTTCGGCCCATTTCGCCCTAAAAAGAGAGCTTATTTGACAATGTAAACTCCGAGAAACGTTCACTCTAAAATAATAATAAAAAAAGAAAATCGACAACTGTTTTCTCTTGTTTTTGTGGAATGGATTTGGTAATTTGCTGTGTTTTTATCACACTGATAATTGGTAAGTTATTATTATTCATCAATTTTGTTGTTTGTACATATTTTGATAGCTAAATATAAAGTTGACCTCTTTGTCAAGTATGTTTGTTTGTGTATTAAATATACTTATATATAAAAACGGAGGATAAGCAAGGCTAAGTGCAATGTATCTGATATCGTAAACAACGTGTGAGGAATACAAATGACGTCAAAATGTATTCATGTACTTGTGTGTGTTTGAGGAGATTTAATTCGCCAGTCAATGGATACTAACGGCAATAGGAAGTTTCACTTCAACCCGATACTGTTTTAGTGGTTTCCAACACTTCCTCGTCATCTATCTCCTTCTCTACCCCCTCCACTAAATCTGTACATCTCTAGTCACGATACAGTAAAACATAAACAGTAGGTTATATTTCTAAAGTTCATGCATTGTTATGGTAAATAATTTACTGAAAACTCATCTATTTTCGCGAGGCTCACTTCTCGTTGTTTAAAAAAACCTCATTATTGCGTGGACGCTAAATTTCGTGTATGATAGAGCTCTATCAAACACTTTGTAGTTAACCCTTTCTTCGTGGTCGGGTGGCGCAGTGGCAATAATGCACGTGAAAAGGTAAAGGGTCACTTGCCCGACCACATGGGTTTCCCTCGGGTACTCCGGTTTTCTCCCACAGAAAGACTCCGTCCTGGCCAACAAGAGTGATTAAATATAAATTGGAAAAAAACTTGTTTCTCAATGGTTGTGAAAAAAATTTTTTTTTTTTTTTTTTTATTTTTAAAGTTCTATAATACATTTTGTACTATTTTTTTATGAATAAAGAGTACCTACAAAAATAACAAATATATAATTTCCCACAAAAAATCAACGATTTTACAGTATATAGTTATTCATTTGATTAAAACTGTTCTTATTATACTGTAAATTAGTCATTATAGGGACATTACTTACCATAAGACTGTTCTCTTGTTGCAAGATCCCTGAAACTTTTGTAAAAGATTAAAACATGTACGGTATATTTGAAAATGAATATTGTTTAAACCAATCACCTATACTAATATAGGAACACTGTTTTAATTTGTTTGTAAATTCGTATTTTTTTAAACGAATACATCAACATAAAGTAGGTATTACGATAATGGACGCTGTTGTTTGGCTAAAGTCTTTTATCCCTCCGCCGCAAAAACCGGACTATTTTATTGGTAAACTTACGCACAATAAGTCACTCATGTGTTGTTGACTTACCATGAGCTAACAAAATTGACAAATTGATTTAACAATAAAAAATTAGACCGTGATCAGATTGGAGATTTTCGATGTATCATTGATATCATGAATGACAGTATTGATAAAACGTTACAAATTTCCTGGATTTATAAACAACGGCAGCTGACATGTAAAACATTGCAAATTTTCTGAATAGACTTGCTCTGAAACTTTTTATTATCATCTTGTAATATTAATAGTCTATGGACAATTTGAGTTCATCTAAATCTTTTAACGAAAATCTGTGTATGCACGGAACAAGTGACGTCACTTCCTGTTTATCATTCAATACACTATAGCAACTCTTCCTTTACTAGAAATAGATGTGATAATGATTTTGTTGATCCATGACGTGCTCTAGACTTTGTGGTCTCCGTTTGGTATTGTACAACAGGGACAATGAAACAGTGAGTCAACAATTGGGGCTATGTCCAGGGGCGGATACAGGAATTTAAGTTAGGGGGGGCGTTATAATTAACTTACTTAACTCTTTCTGTCGTTATGTGATCAACTATAATAAAGTTACTGTATACTTGAAAATTAGCCCAACTTAAGTCATCTATAGCTGTTTAGAACAGTGATAGTCATAACATACGACCAAGACCATCCAGTATACTTCGTAACTCACCCTTACTCTGCCAATTTTAGGGGGGGGGCGTGCGCCCCCCACGCCCCCCTCTAAATCCGCCCCTGATGTCACCACGCATCGCTACTTCCTTGTATTGTAAGAAATACATAACGATATTTTCTTAATTTTAAATGACATCTGCAAACGTCATCAATAAACTAAACGAATCATCTACGTTTGCCGGAAGTCTTTGATATTGTAGGAGTAACCTGGTGGACTTAAGTCCCCGAAAATACCAGAATGTCAGTATAATCATAACCCACACTCAGATTCAATAAAACTATGGTAAAATATGAACAACATGGTCATATTGTCTGGGACGGGAAAGTTCCATGGTCTGGGACGGGAAAGTTCCTTGGTCTGGGACGGGAAAGTTCTATGGTCTGGGACGGGAAAGTTCCATGGTCTGGGACGGGAAAGTTCCATGGTCTGGGACGGGAAAGTTCCATGGTCTGGGACGGGAAAGTTCTATGGTCTGGGACGGGAAAGTTCCATGGTCTGGGACGGGAAAGTTCTATGGTCTGTGACGGGAAAGTTCCATGGTCTGGGACGGGAAAGTTCCATGGTCTGGGAGAGGAAAGTTCTATGGTCTCATACAGGAAAGTACCATGGAGGATGTGTACATCGGGAAACCAAAATAAATGAGAGAAGTTTTCAAGGTAAAAAAGATTTCAAAAAAATTATACAGTTTACCCATACAAAAATGTTTCAGAATCAGATAATAGTTCCAAAGTTGTGGCTGTTCCACAATATCTGTCTTAATTATTTGCCATTAATTACGATATCATTTGCCATTAATTAGGAAATTATTTGCCATGAATTAGGAAATTATTTGCCATTAATTACGAAATTAGTTGTCATTAATTACGATATTATTTGTCATTAATTACGATATTATTTGCCATTAATTACGATATTATTTGCCATTAATTACGATATTATTTGCCATTAATTACAATATTATTTGCCATTAATTACGAAATTAGTTGCCATTAATTACGATATTATTTGTCATTAATTACGATATTATTTGCCATTAATTAGGAAATTATTTGCCATTAATTACGAAATTATTTGCCATTAATTAGGAAATTATTTGCCATTAATTACGAAATTACTTGCCATTAATTACGAAATTATTTGCCATTAATTACGAAATTATTTGCCATTAATTAGGAAATTATTTGCCATTAATTACGAAATTATTTGCCATTAATTACGAAATTAGTTGCCATTAATTACGATATTATTTGTCATTAATTACGATATTATTTGCCATTAATTACGATATTATTTGCCATTAATTACAATATTATTTGCCATTAATTACGAAATTAGTTGCCATTAATTACGATATTATTTGTCATTAATTACGATATTATTTGCCATTAATTACGATATTATTTGCCATTAATTACAATATTATTTGCCATTAATTAGGAAATTATTTGCCATTAATTAGGAAATTATTTGCCATTAATTACGATAATATTTGCCATTAATTACGATATTATTTGCCATTAATTACGAAATTATTTGCCATTAATTACGATATTATTTGCCATTAATTACGATATTATTTGCCATTAGTTACGATATTATTTGTCATTAATTACGATATTATTTGCCATTTATTACGATATTATTTGTCATTAATTACAATATTATTTGTCATTAATTACAATATTATTTGTCATTAATTACAATATTATTTGCCATTAATTACGATATTATTTGCCATTTATTACGATATTATTTGCCATTAATTACAATATTATTTGCCATTAATTACGATATTATTTGCCATTTATTACGATATTATTTGCCATTAATTACGATATTATTTGCCATTTATTACGATATTATTTGTCATTAATTACAATATTATTTGTCATTAATTACAATATTATTTGTCATTAATTACAATATTATTTGCCATTAATTACGATATTATTTGCCATTTATTACGATATTATTTGCCATTAATTACAATATTATTTGCCATTAATTACGATATTATTTGCCATTTATTACGATATTATTTGCCATTAATTACGATATTATTTGCCATTAATTACGATATTATTTGCCATTAATTATGATATTATTTGCCATTAATTACGATATTATTTGCCATTAATTACGATATTATTTGCCATTAATTACAATATTATTTGCCATTAATTACAATATTATTTGTCATTAATTATGATATTATTTGCCATTAATTATGATATTATTTGTCATTAATTACGAT